GGCATTTGATGCATTTGATGAAATGTTTTAGGTACTCTTCCCATGCCAATGATTGCAGCCATTGATGGGGGAGGAGGTCTAGGAGGTCTTGAAATGGCTCTTGCCTGTGACATCAGAGTGGCAGGTAGAGCATGTGGTTCATCTCATGACTTTATATGAACACAAGCTATTATTATTGGCGCATGATTCGAGTGTAAATCCATATTAGAGATACTCAAGCTGGTTATACTGTAGTTCAGCTCCACTGGAAATCAGGACAAGTGTGGGATCAACAACAACCTAAAATGATTTAAAGGGGTCATGACATGGATTTTTTATTTTATATACTTTTAATGTACGTTTTTTGCACACAAAAAAAAAAAAATGGAAAAATTATAATTGTCAACCCTCATTCTGATCCTCTGTCTACAACAACCTGTTTTAAGGGGTGTGTCCTTTAAGGCTTGTCGGGAATCAGCCACTGTTATGATTGGCTAATGTCACTGCATAAGAAACAGCAGTATCAAGCTGCAGTCAGATGTAGTGCTGCTTCATCTTTCAACAAATGTTTTTTTGTGAACTCTCCATGACACTGTGCCTCGTTTACAAAACAAAAAAATCCTCTGCACAATCCTCCGACGCGATCCGGAACGAACAGCTTGTAACACTCCAAAGAGAAAGGAAAACTTGAAATCGCATCATATGACCCCTTTAAGCCAAACGCGTCAAAGTGAACGATCTTTCACTGCACTTCTCCTGACGACAGACTCGAGCGTGGACTGAGTCAGAAAGTGAACGCACATCTGTATACTGTATCCAGTGTAGACGAGATAGCGGCAGTGATTGTCATTTCTGTTTGCTTTTGACGCGACGCGACACTCGCTTTCAGCGTAATCAAGTGTCAGCCGCTAAGCGAGTGAACGCCAGTGGGCGGGGCCTATGGTGAGAAGAAGACTATTCGTCGATGTCTTGCTCTGGAGGCGGTGTTTATGCAAATGACTAGTGATGTCACCCTGCACCTCAGATCCAAAACGAGCCGTTTTTGGAGCTTGATTAAATAAATGCTTTGTTTATAACGAGGAGGACATTTTAAGCTATGAAACCTGCAGGATGTTTTAATCTTACAAAGACCTCTTATATGCCAAATGATCAAGGCGAATTTGATTTCTCATGTCATGACCCCTTTAATGGTTTTATTAGTGTATCTTGGTTCACTCAGTGTTGTGAATTAACATGTCTTCATTACGCTGTCAGACAGCAGATGGCTTCTTTCATGCGTTCTCCTCTCACACCCAGATTTAGATTTAGGAAATCTGTGCATGATGCTATAACAGGTCTCCTGCACTTCTTCGAATGCATTTCACACCATATGTTTTCACACAAGGCACCTTTTATTTTTTCAAATGTGGATATTTAAGGTCTATATTCAGTGTAATTGCGCACTGACTCAAAGTTGTGCTGCTGTAAAAAATTTAGAAATTATAGAATGCCTTAAGAATAACAAAGTATTACAAAAAATGAATGCGGAATATTATTTAGTGTTCTTTTCAGATGCCTCTGAAATTGTTTTCATGGTTTCAAACTGTGAAATAAACTGGCTGGCTTTGAGTATTTTGGCAGGTGTGAGAACTAAACATAACGGTTCATATTTAATGTGCAGAAAAAAAAACTTGTTTGTGAAATTTAATTTTTACATTTATGCATGTGGAAGTTTTTTTTATCCAAAGCAAATTAAACTACTTTCACTTGTTGATCAGTTTATTTATCAGTATGTGCTGTTCAGTGTCACAAAAAAAGCAACTAATTATCACTAAAGTATAAGTTATTGATAAAACAAAATGTCTTTTAATTGGAGCACAGTTAGTATGAGTATTGTATTCTTTATTATATTGTATGCATCATAAACCTGATTATTTTATTGCTGTTTACCTGATTTAAAATGTGTGATTTCTGAAGGCATTCATATTTTTCAGGGTCTTCTGAGATTTATCTCTTTGAAAACAAATAGGCTAACTGATTCTCCACACTTTGACCTCTTTTACAGCCAGCTCTGCTAAGATGGGACTAGTTGAGACTAAATTAGCCATCATCCCAGGCGCTGGTAAGTGCCTCTGTCTGTATTTGTAATTACTTCTAAAAATTGAAAAATTGTGTGATCAGTTGTCTTCTTTATTGTTTTGGCATTGGTTTAAACCAAAGCAGATATTCAAATACTAAACAGCCATAAAAAGTGTACAGTGAGCAAGAACGGTGCAATGATCTCGCTGCAAATGATTGAATGAATTCAGATTCACCCATTCAGAGATTCTCAGTTCGTATGCTGCCTTACAGGCAACTGTCAATGTAGACCGTCGCAAGTCATTTTATAGGCAATAAAATAAATTTAGTTTGTGTCAAGTGTTTCAGTAAAGTTTAATTGTAAACTTTTTGTATCCCTTTTTATTGAATCATATCATGAGACCTATAAGGCAGCTTACTAGGTTGTATCTCATATTAACAAACTGGGCCAAATACTTCCAACTGCCAAGAAAAGGAACACAGAACACAATAAAATTATTATTCAAAGACACGTTTTCTTTAAAACTTCTGTGCATCATTTCCTGGAGTTGCTATTTTGTTTCAAATATAGCTTTGTAAAGTTCTAAAGTTAGAATAGCAGCAGAACTGTAAATATTTCTGATGTGCCTCTAAGTGATTTTCACAGATTTTCAAACTGTTGTAGTACTGCATAGTGCAAGATTTGTGCTCCAAATTCAAGAGTATACTATAATATTTTATAATTATATACTATTAAAAGATCTAGAAAAATAATGTGGATGCTTTGTGGTTGTCTTAATGTAACATATCTATTAATGTGGCAAACCACACCTCTGGTTACACCTGTTTGAACTGAGTTCATCTGTTCACTAAAATCATCTTGACATTGCCAAAATGCAAAGAAAATGGATGTTATTTTTCGAGAGAATGGCGTTGTTTGTTTGCAGATGTCACTGCATTAGATAACAAAATCAAACCAGGTGCCATTTAGAAATGTTCAAGTGTCCAAATACTTTTGGGGCCACTGTAGCTCATAAGATACAGGACTGTTCTGCAGCAGACAGATTTATGATTTGTTGGGTGAAGGCAAAACCAGTGGCATGTTTTCCAGGTCCCTATCTAGGTACATGTGGTTAAGTTGGAAAGTATCTGTGTTTCAGTATATAGTGTCAGTCCAGACAGCCGTTGAGGTTATCACTCAAGGCTTGACCTGCAGCCAGAGGGGTTTCTGTCTTCAGGATGAAAATAGGTCACCAGAGCTTTATTAGGCTGAGAGACCCTGGAAAAACAGTGGCGAAGATGTCAGCACAAGACTTTTTTTTTTTGGTTCGGTGTTGTGCTGTTTTGAACCAATTTGTTTGACCTGTTATCTGAAGATGTGAACGTCGCATCTTTGCGGACATCTGAAAAATGTTATTTACTGGAGCGCAGTATCAGTTCCAATTCTGCTTTTTTGTAACAATGGCCAAAAAAAACTAACAAAAATAACATAAAAGTTGTCTGTAATGGAGGAGACTCTTTTTAGTGAATGACCGCCTAACTTTCAATCTGCCTTCAAAAAATATTGCATGTGAGACAAGTGGACTACGTTTAAAGGGGTCATGACATGGATTTTTTAAAATTATTTTAATGTTCCTTGAGGAACCTTTAATGTTTTTTTTTTATTATTACTATTATGTTCCTTGAGGTTTACTTATAATGTTAATAAAGTTTTTTTGAACAAAAAAAAACAAATAAATATGTGAGAATTATAATTGTCAACCCTCATTCTGATCCTCTGTCTGAAACGACCTGTTTTAAGGGGCGTGTCCTTTAAGGCTTGTCAGTAATCGGCCACGGTTATGATTGGCTAATGTCACTGCATAGGAAACAGTATCAACGCCCCTCGCTATTGCATGTGTTTTGACAACATAATCCAAATAAAACGGTCATTTCCAGACAGAGCATTATGAAATCATTTACTTATGGTTTGTGATGCAGCTGCAGTCAGATCTAATGCTGCTTCATCTTTTAACAAATGTTTCTTTGTGAACTCTCCATGACACTGTGCCTCGTTTACAAAGCAAAATCCTCCGACACGATCCGGGGTGTTTGTTCCTTATGCTGGGGTCCTTCTGATATCTGTACAAAGATGCGAACAAGCTGTTTAAACCAAACGCGTCAAAGTGAACGATCTTTCACTGCACTTCTCCTGACGACAGACTCGAGCGTGGATTGAGTCGGAAAGTGAACACACATCTGTATACTGTATCCAGTGTAGACGAGATAGTGGCATTGATTGTCATTTCTGTTTGCTTTTGACGCGACGTGACACTCACTTTCAGCGTAATCAAAATCAAGTGTCAGCTGACCGAACTCCAGTGGGCGGGGCCTATGGTGAGAAGAAGACTATTCGTCGATGTCTTGCTCTGGAGGAGGTGTTTATGCAAATGACGGTGACATCACCCTGCACCTCAGATCCAAAACGAGCCGTTTTTGGAGCTTGATTAAAGGGGTCATATGATGCTTTTTTAAAGATCATTATTTTGTGTATTTGGTGTAACAGAATATGTTGACATGCTTTAATGTTCAAAAAACACATTATTTTTCAAATACTGTACATTATTGTAGGTCCTCTATGCCCCGCCTCTCTCAAACGCTTCGTTTTCTACAAAGCCCCCTCCTTTGACAAGCGCAGTCCGCTCTGATTGGCCAGCTGACCCAGTGCACTGTGATTGGCCGAACACCACAAGCACACGTCGGAAATGAAACGCCCCTTACCATAAT